ACTTAAAACATATCTATTCTCACAAGCTTTTAGTTAGGTTTACTGAATTAATATTATTATTGTTATTATCTCCTGTTTTTAACCGTGATAAGAAAGATATCCTCTTATCTTGTTTAACTAACACCTTTGATTACATCTTGTGTGTTTTTATAAATGTTAGTCACTCTTATCATAATGTTTATGTTTTGTCATGTACAATGTACCTTTGTTTCTGTTTTTAAGCACATTGAGTCTGCACTTGTCGCATGAAATGTGCTATATAAATAAACTTGACTTGACTAGTAGTAAGAGGATTTGGCAGTGGAAAGAGCATTCTTGTAGTGATGAAGATGTTCAGCATACTTTTTGGTATGTACTGAAAGTCCAGTCTTTTTCCCACTCCAGTCAACGAGCAGCAGTTTCAGCTGGCGGATATCAGAGGTAAACCAGGGAGCGGTCTGGGTAAAAAAGGATGTGCCGGTTTTAGGGGGGCCAGGACAGCGAGGGAAGAGGAGAGACAGTAATTGCAGTGATTTACCAAGTCAGCAGAGGAGGAGGATGCTGGAGGGCTGAGATTGGAGATGATCAGGGCAGTGAGGTCTGTAGGGTTGATGTTTTTAATGTTTCTGAAGAAGATAGTCCGATGCCCTTTAATTTTGGATAATGAGGCATGAACCTCAAACAGAACAACTTTATGATCAGAAATGGGGAACTCTTGTTAGTGTAGGACTCTTGTTATGTGTTGGGATGTTGACATATTGTGTAATACTGAGACAGTCAAGGAGTGAGATGAAATCATTGGCAAAAGGATTGGATGGGTCATTAATGTGAATGACAGTAGGGGAAATGGTACATACAGATATTAATAGTGAGGAGAATTCAGTGAAAAAAACAGAGGGCTTTGGTGGTCGGTATATGGCAGCAATATCTATTGGCTTGGGACCTGTGAGTTTTACTGCTAACCATTTGAAGGAAGTGTGATTGGTCACTGTGACAGCTGTGATTTTAATGCTCTCATGATATAGCACAGCGACCCCCCCCCCCCCCGCAGTTTGGGGTTTACTAATGTAAGCAAAACCCCTTGGCACAGCTTTGTTAAGCTGGGAGAAGTCATTTGGTTGTTGCCAGGTCTCAGTGAGGCATAAGAAATTCAGCTTTTTGTCTATGATGAGTTCAGAAACCACCAGGGCCTTACTGGTGAGGGATCTTATGTTGAAGATAGCCAGTTTGAAACAGACAAGTAGGTGGATGCCTTGGGAACATGGGATAACACACTGTGATTGACAGTGTGGGTCAGGGTGCGTGTGCAGGTGTGAGGGGGGCAGGGCTGAGTGGACCAGAAAGAGGGAATATTGCTTTTGTTGGTGTGCTGTGTATAATGAAAATTCTAACCAGATCCACGATGGACATATCTTGGTTGCCTGTCACGATGGGCAAGCAGATCTGGAGGGGTCCTGGAATAGGAGACACAGCAGCTCCGTTGCAGAGTAGCACAGCGGGGGGGGATGCATGGTGATGGTGAGACACAGAGCGATCCATATGTAAAGGTTCATAATCCACATAGTCAGGAGACAGTTAGAAACAGTGTAATCCAGAAAACTGATGATCCTGTTGATTACGAGGAAGCTGAAAGACCAGCCTGGCGGGAGCAGAGGAATACAGAGTCCGCTGGTAGCAGACATGCAGAGGTACACTACAGCAGGGAAACCATGCACACGCCACCGGGTCTTGGCAGCAAATTAGCCGTCAGGAAAGTACCCTGCACTGGGGTATGGCAGCTTCTGTGTTGGCGATAATCCAAGGTAGCGACTTGGTATCCAGGGAGAGGAGGCAGTGTAGCAGCAGGTGGTCACGATCTAGCTTGCAAAACGGGCTCACCAGAACTGAGGATCCAGCCAATGTGAGCACAGTGGAGAGGCCAGGTCCGAGCAGCAGGTTATCCAGCAGGCTAGCGCTGGGCACTGCCTGGGGTGGCTTCTGCGTTAACATTCCACAGAAACGACAAGGTGCCGGGGGGAGGAGGCAGAGTAGCAGCAGACTGTCCTGATCAAGTGTGCATGGCAAAGCACACCAGAACAGAGAGTCCAGCTGCTACGAGCACAGCAAAGACCCATCAGACCCAGGGCCACAAATGAGGCTTTTGCCGGTGGGATTAGCTTCCAGGCTACCAAGTGACAGCAACAGTAGCACCAGGCAAGCAGAGACAGCCGGAATGTAACTGCTGTTTTGGTGTTATATGAGAATTAAAATAGTAAGTAACAGATGAAGCACAGTCTGACTGGACAGACAACATTCAGGGTTCAATGGTTTTGAACCAAACAACAAAACAGCGGAGAAGGCGCGGCAGCAGCTTGCCAGTGGTCCCTTCATTCCGCCATCCATGAGTCAAAAAAACTTTTATACATATAATGATTTCTGTAACATTTTTAACATTTCTGCAATCTGGCTTCCTATGACCACCTCACCATCTGGGCTACCAATTTCCTGCCTGTTTTCATACAGGTGGGCACATTCTCACTTTAAGTTTGTTTATATTAGGCAAAACTTTTGCATAGGAAGTGGCATACACCAATTTTAGGCCTGGTTTTGTTTGTACACAACAGTTATACATAACTATATATA